CTTCCTCCCCTCTCCTCGAAGGCAGCTTGAGTTCGCGTCTCAAGCAAAACATGTCCCGGAACAAATCACTGCAGCTCAACGATCGACGTAGCCTCACCTTCTGTCGAGATACTGACATACAGACGACCAATACCGAGACATGCTACACCTTATACTCTCAAGTTACTCACGACTATCGTGCAAAGTTCAGCGAGAATATTTCGCCCTCATTTACGTCAGCAGAAAATCCCAATTCTCCGAAAGAGTCCATTAAAGAGGATGACAATCGCAATAACAACATTCTTCCCCTCATATGAAAATACCATAGCAATACGTAAGAACTCTCGCAAATACCCCAAGCACTACCATCCTCCGCCTCACTCCCCATTCCAGTTTTCCCTACTCCTTGTGATAGTTCTGCCGACACTGCATGGGCCGATGGTAAAGTCGTTGGTGAGGCAGCCATACAGTGCGTGTCAACTCGATAAGGAAGTGTGAGGAATGTGCGCTACTTCCCAAAAATGATAAGAATCTACCTCAAACTATATCGAATTATGTGATGTGATAAAATCAACCATTCGGAGCTGTGATAGCGAAAACTCGTTCACTACCACTTATATCCAAAAATGACGCACGTTTCTCAAATCCACGTATCAAACTAACAGCACACTGTAGGTGTCCACAGCTGCTCATAGTCCTTCCTTTGATACCTATTGTCAGCAACAGTGGTGAAATATCGGACTTTCTGACACTATTTTGATCACCCGAAATACTTTCACCGTATAGAATTACAATCTTCCGAGAGAACAGACGGTCACAATAGTCTCTCACAAACCATCATCATCATCATCAGCAGGCTGCTGATGATGATAATTTGTAAGACAGTGCTGCGGCGGACAGCAGCACCTTCCAGGACACAGTGACGAAACGAAGCCCATAATGCCCAGATCGCCCCATTTGACAACTACAACGCAAAAAGGAATACCAATAACAGAAAGACCTTCACAGGGCCTATTGCTTGGACTATTACAAATCCTCATCGATATGTGCGATCAAGAAAATATGGCAGAACACCAGGGAGCACCTCGCATCCTATCTCGACTACTGACGTGGCTGCTGTTGGACCTGGGAGTGCACTCACAATCCAAAGGTCCCGGGTTCAATCCCGGCAAGGACCGCTATTACTACCGCGACAGGGAATGTCTGCTGGTGGCTATTCGTTGGGGGGACCACGATCACTGCTCCGTTCTGCATACGGTTGAATCTGATGAGAGACTCCGCCGCAACAATTCACTCATCTTACAACGATACTCTCAACCGCACTATAAAGATACACTTTCAACCGCACTGTAAAGATACACTTTCAACCGCACTATAAACATACACTTTCAACCGCACTATAAAGATACACTTTCAACCGCACTATAAAGATACTCTCGACCGCACTATAAAGATACACTTTCAACCGCACTATAAAGATACTCTCGACCGCACTATAAAGATACACTTTCAACCGCACTATAAAGATACACTCTCAACCGCACTATAAAGATACACTTTCAACCGCACTATAAAGATACACTCTCAACCGCATTATAAATATACACTCTCAACCGCACGATAAAGATACACTTTCAACCGCACGATAAAGATACACTTTCAACCGCACTATAAATATACACTTTCAACCGCACCATAAATATACTCTCGACCGCACTATAAAGATACGCTCTCAACCGCACTATAAAGATATTCCCCCCCGTCACCTACAGCTTAAATCCATAGATAAAAGATGCACATTTGAGAACCAACGCCGGTAAGGCCAAACCTGATATGAGGTACAACTGATAACCACAACATTGCTAACTCCTGAAAAACGTTTCTGAGGAGA